CCCGCTCGTCCTCCCTCGCGCCGGGCTCGGTTTCAAGGTCGCTGGGCGGTCAGAGGTGTCGCGTGTGCCCGAGGCCGTGATCCCCACGGCAGCCTCCTGGCAGCACCCGTTGCTTTTGCTCGGCCTATTCCATAGTCACCTGCCAAACCGAGAATTATTTAAATTGCAAGCAAGCACGCTACCAGCCCGGAGATGGGAACAGTCCCAAGCGTTACCTTTCCGTAAACGCTCACGGGCAATAGCAACAGTGACCTGCAAGCGCAGAGACCCGTGGGAGCTGGAGCCAGGCTGTCTCAGGGCTTCTGCTGTTTGGAAAAGCACCTTCGCAGGACCGAAGCACAGCAAGGACAAACCCAAAAGTCAGTACTCGTGTCCAGCTGAAATGAACCCAGCAGTCACCCAGACAGCACATTAAAACGGGCTTTGACCTCGCTGTCACCAGTTCTCCAGCCTTTTGTGCTCGTGTTCAGATCCCGAGCGATGACCCAGTACCCACAGCCAGCAGGAGCAGGCCAAAAGTAATTCATAACTGGGGACCACTAGTGAAAAATCCAACTTCCAACTCTTCCTTAAAGAAATACTCAAAGTTCAAAAGGTGTTCAAAAATTGCTCAAAAGCCACCACCATCAGCAGGCGATGTTTCCTTTGCCAGAGACCATAGCTACACCAAAGGGTAAAAGCAAAATTGTAATGCTCACGGTGGCTCTCTCTAGCACGAAGCTCTGTGTTAGATACCTTGATTATTGAATACTGCTATGAGCAAGCTGTAAATATCAGATAATCGGTTTGGGGCTACGAAAGACAACGCCCTGCAATAAATATGCTAGACTTGTACGAAGTGTCCCACTCGTCAGGATTCGCGGCTAATCCTGAGCACGGCACTACAGCAAAGCTTGAATTTCAGAGCTACAGCAGCCTCTGCCAGGCTGCCGGCACCGCGTCTAGCTGCGAGAGGGATCGGTGGCTCTGAAGAGGCTTTTTAACCTCTCGATTCTCTTCCTCTGCTTTTAGCAAGCAATGCTACCTCCCTGGGACAGAGCTAACGCCCTGCTTGTGAAGCACTTGGCTACCGACACACGGGCAAATGGTATGAAAAGGGAGAGGTGATTCCTAAAAGCCTCGCAACACATACCACTGCAGCGCAAGCCCTTAGTCCCAGCCTAATCTGGTCTGTACGCTCAAAGGACAGTAAATTCACAGGAGAATTGGGACACCCAGAGCGAAAAAATTTTGTGCAGAGAAATATATTTAGTGCACGCAAATATGCCTGTACTCTGCTGAAATGCAAATCTGCCTTATTGTCGTCCTAATCCCCGTGCATGACACACTAATAAACAGGGGGGTTTAATGCTTACCATCTGCGTTACAGATTGCTTCCCACACTGTGAGCTTGCTTGGTTACAGTTGTGTAGGCATCACGGAGGGATACATACTGCAAACGACAAGCTGGCCAATCCCTTGGGAGACTTTAAAACGTGAACTGCAGTTTTCTCACTCTCCGTGGGCACTGGTGTCAGTCGTGCAACGTATGGCAATAGCTATATTCTCATTTCACATCTGTCATGCAGAGACAATTAAAATCTACGCTTCCATCTGAGGGGGACTGTAGGGTTTCCAGATGGGTAATTGTAGTGCATTTTTCATATTGGATTAACACTTGCACCAAAAAGCCTTGCCTGTTGCCCTCCCACCTGTTAAGATTACCAACAGGGTAAATTGAAAAATTTGCTGGTTGCTCCAAAACTCTACCATTGAAAAGCCATCGTGGGTCCAGTGCCAGGGAACTGCGCAGACATGCAGCTCATAAAACTATGAGCTTACCTTACCCTTGCCGTTGCGCATCTCTTCTTGTCGAGCCAGTTAATTGTTAACACCCTTCTCCAGCATCACCCAGATGTCCACCCCTGGACGATTCCCCTCCTGGGGCTATCTGGCTCCCACAACGGAAACGAGCCGCAGCTTATCGGCCTAATGCAAAATACTCGCTATTGTTAGCCTGCAACATTAGCAACGGTTATAATATTGCAAATGAGGGACAGCCAGCTTCATTAGCAAGCCAGTGAAGAGCCTGCTGCAGCGTACTGAGCTGGCCACCCACTCAGTGGCGTTACACCAGGAGGGATGTATCGGGCATCGTCGCCGTGCTGGATGGAGCTTCCCAGTTGCCCAGACAGCAGAGGCATAACGCGCCAGGCTGTAGCGTAACTGCTGCCAGAAAGCCACCTAGAGGAAAAGCCGGACCCGCGAGGGGTTTTTCATGTATCGTCAGGGGCAAAACTGCGAGAAAAGTAAAACTGTCCGAAAGCCGCGTGGTCCCTGCTGCGCCGCTGGGGTTCAGAAAGCTACTGGTGGGGCTGTGCGAGTGCGGCGGGCCCACGCTAACCTCTGCAGACAAATGTGCCAGCCTCAGTCGGACAAAGGCTTTGATATTTTTCAGCTCTTCACGCAAAAGACCACTGGCATATGCTCTTAAAATGCATTTCCCCAATTTGGTTTGGAGCTTCAAAAACCACTAGGCTTACATCAACCGTGAAAAAATTCAATTCCACCCCCTCCCCTTTCTGAATTCAGAATGATAAAGGATCAACAGTTATGTCTGGAGTAGGGAAGCAGATATTGCACATATCTTGCTTACAAAATAGCTCTGGTTTTCATGAAACAAGTTTATTTTCCTCCCCCAGCCATTGATGAGCACATGACAACCGTACAGAATAAAAGCTCAACTCCTTAGTTCTGCTCACATTCACTCAACATTTGCTCTAATCAATTATCTTATTTCATGCAATAAGAAAAGAATGAGATTCCTGTTATGCAGCCATAATCAGTTACAGTATGGAGCTGTGTCTGTGGAACATTTCTGATTTTGAAAACTAATCATGTGCTCTGCCATTACATTTCTCTTGTAAAACACTGGGCTTTTACCCAACTTCTTTGTCGTCCCCCCCCCCGCCCTTTAAAAATATTGAGGGCACGGTCTAGTCCGAGATGCCACATTCTTACCCAGCAGAAGCTAGCCAAATTGCACTGTAAGGAACATATTTAGCCAGGCTCTGTTTTTCTAGTTTATTGGAATATAAAAGCGTAAGCAGATGTCCCCCGCAGAGCAAGACAAAAGAGCAGAGGGTGCTGCATGTGACAGCGGATGGCTGTAGGAGGATAAAAGTCCCGTCCTCACACGAAGGGTTCAATGCTGATCTCTAGGGCAGAGCATGGCATGGTGAGCTCAAACTTGGTGATAACATCGGGGTGTAGGACTCCAAGTTTCCCAATGCTTTGACCTTTGGCAAAGATCTCAGCACAGCGACCAGGAAAGAAAGCAGAGCCTGTCAAGAAAGCGAGAGAAAAATCAATGTTTCTCCGGGCCAAAGAAGTCAATAGGCATTTAACATGGAGAACAAAGCTGTCAGTATTAAACCGTTCTCCGTGCTGAGATGCTAAGAAGGGGCTCTCACTTTCTTGCATTAACAGTTGTCACGATCGATAGAGAACGAGGAAACACTCTGAGTTAAAAATAAAATGTGAAGCCCGAAGCGTGGGCATTTTTCACACTCCGGTTGTTTTGACTGAGTTACTCCTGTGATGATAGAAATTAGCACAGATAAGTCGAGTCAGAGGGCTACTGAAATGAAGAACTTCTGCAGGCCTAAAGGCTATTTAACACCTGAATGTTTCCCACCTTACTCTGTTTAAGGAAATAAAGCCTGCTGTCATCTAAGGGGTAAGTAGGCATGTCACGCTTGATTACGTGTCACATAATTAGAAACAACCTACAGTCCTCATCGGGAGAAGAGCTTTTAAGCAGTTTCCTGTATACTGTAAAACTGTGGAACAACGAGCAACTCAAAGGAAGTCGAAGCTCATCTTCCTCTTCCCTCAAACCAAGCCCCAAGTTTCAAATGTTATTTGGGACTTTAAAAAAAGGAAGAAAAAAAAAAAGTAGTTGAATTGGCCATGAAGAACTTGGAGGAGCTGTGCAGACTTTTTTCACGGAAAGCCTTTCCTACTTGGGAACGTACCTGTGCGTGGTGGCTACACCAGCGATACGTTCAAGCTTGTCTATAGCAGCTACGCTTGCATTTTTTTTTGTCTCTGTCCTGAGGTGAGTGGCATTTTGACCTGATAGCCCTTCAAAAGACAAAACCAAACCAGCAAGCTGCTCCTTCCGAAGCCACCTCTTTCATAACAAGTGTGTGGAAGCAAGGCACAGTGCGCAGGACCTCCAGCGAGTCGTGCTGCAAGGCGATGCTGTGAGCTCAGAGGAGGAAAGGGGAGAGGATGAAAACAAGGCCACTGAATCCTACAGATCCTCCCGCAGAAAGCTGCCTCCACGTTTTTAATGCTACTGCCCTTGCAGAGAGGGAAGGGGCCTTTACTAGATTTCCACTCAGAAGTTAAACAAGTGGGCAAGGGACAGCATCGGGGACCAGTCAGCTTCCCTGCCCTCGCCCCTTGCGCTGCATCTTTATCTCAATAGGCCAAAATCCAGCGAAGCATCTTCTACAAGACGAGCTGGTTACTGGCTATGCGTGAGGTTGTATCAGTGTGGATGAGAAACGTCCCCGCTCTACTTGCTTCTGTGCCAGTACGAAGACAGCAGCTGAGGAGCTGCTTCCAGTCCTGCTCCCTGCCTGCTGCCGACACGGCACTCAGCCCTTCAGCGTCCTCTGCATCCCGCAAAAGGGCTGCAAGAATTTCCCAATGGCAACTTACTCTCTGGTTGCTCCAAATGCCATTTAAGGTTCAGGATCAGCCCAGGACATTTTACTGCGTTTACAAGGAGCTATTTAAAAAAGGCAATAAAGGGCCAAATTAACCGCAAACCTCAGGAACATTTTCATGACACTCTCATCACTAGCGGTCAAGCCCAGAGAGGTATTCTTTGTTAGCTCCCCAATGGAAATAGTTCATTTAAGAAGTGTCTCCTGTGAGGCTTGTCGTCGTAACTTGCAGCTACAAGAATAAGAACAGCAATTAGGTCTTTTTCTTGTCCAACTTGCTGTAAGTGCAAATTAACTTAAATGTGTACTCCAATTTTGGCTGCCTTGTGAAATCTGACGGCAGGAGTAAACGATTACCTAAAGGCTGTTTTAAAAAAATATTCAGAACCAGTACCTTTTAAATCATCCAGTTCCAGTCTTAGCTACGAGCGCAAACCAACTGCTTACACTGGCCGTACAAAAGTGAAATGATCTAGCCCCTGGATGTTACTGGCACATGACTCTAGCCAAACAGACGCTTGCCACTGCCAAGCCGCACCATTCAAAACAAGTGTTAAAATAAAACTTGACGAAACAAATTTAGAAAAGAAACAAACGCCACACGTACAGATCACTGCAGACTGTGGGTGAAAACATAACCTAAAAATAAAGTACTCTTGTAGTTAGCGATAAAGGCTTTCCTATTTGTGAATAAAGCTGGTATTGTACCAAGGATGTGAGCAGCACACAGTGACGTTCTTTTAGAAATTTGACTGTGAGCTTAAACTGGCACAAGAGCAAGAACCAAGCAGAAGTTAATAACGTTGGCATGGTACCCCACTATAAAATTATAGGAAAAAAGAGCTCTGACAATATGGTTAGTTAAAAAGCTGTGAGTCTGACTTGTCTGTTGTTCTGAGCTGCCTTGTGTGTAGCCTTGGGAAAGTTACTTTATCTTCTTGCACATCTAGGCCCAATTATATCATGAGACTTAACTGTTTTTAAACTCGTTGTAGACATCTGGATGGGGTGTAAAATAATACTGCACTCAGTCAATCTATCAAAGGCAGTTTCCAAGATCTGTGCCGCCTCCCATTGTGTGAAACGATTTTATGTTTTCAGGCACAAGAAATGCTCTGCTATCCGGGCATCACCAGTTGTCGGTCTCCCAGCCAGAAGTTAGGCAGAAGGTGGACAGGCAGCGGGCGGACTTGAAGCCTTACCTGACCCTCACATCCACTGCTACTGACCTTCCCTAGAAGGTTAACTTCAGTAGAAGTTCCCTTGCATTTAACTAAATAATACGCATTTGTGATAAATTTTGAAAACTGATGGCAATTCATGACATTATATCGGAAGCTATGAAATGGCTTAACCATTATGGCATAAAGTGAAGAGTTACGTTAGCTAGAATCTTAACACCGATAAAATTTATCCCTTCTTACCACGAGCTTACAGCACAGCTTCGTAACACAAGTGAACTGAATCAGTGAATCGCCACCGCCGAAAGGGAGGTGGTGGCTTTCCACCTGGAGAGGGGAGGAGAGTGGGACAAGCTGTTGCTTTGGCTGAAGCCTTTACCACGAAACCGCACATTCAGTGTGGCTCTGAATCCGCTGCTCCAGGCTATGGGTTAGGCAGTCACCCACATTTGCCGTCTCATATGCAGCAACCGATGCTGCACCACGATGTTATTTATTTTACTTTGCGCTTCCTTGCAGTGAAGAGGTAAATATAGAATTAGTATCAAGTGGGGAACGCTTGGCTCCCCGAAGTGCAGGAAGCAGGACCTTCGAATCACCTCCCCCTTTCTAGTTAAGCTAACCCTGAAACGTCGGTTGCTTCACAGTGCAGTCACTAGTGTGCCCGGTGCTTTGCAGACATGGCACTTGCAGGGTGTAGTTCTGTGACTGGAAGAGATCAGACAATAAGCAAACAAAAATGAAAGAACCTGTTAAAAGCTTTAGGGTCCCCATCTGTCCAGCTAACACTTGGCTCTTGCGCCAAAGAAACATGAGCTGAGGAATAGGTTTACAGAGAGTTTATGAACTCTGGTTAATAATGAAACTATTATTATGATAATTGGCTGCACTACAGAATGCTTCAAAGTGTATTCCTGCCTGCCAAAAGGGCCTCCAGACTGCATCCCACAGATGGGGGATCTAAGGTCTTCCTCATCTGGGTGACTCTCCCTTTGACCACACATGTGGTAAGGGAAGGAAGTTGGCTCACGCCTGAGACTGGCTGTTGTTGGTCCGTGTATCCCTGCCAGGGCACGAGAATTTGGAGCACATATAAATTTCAGATCAAAAGATTCAGACATTGAAAGGGAAGCACATAAAGCAAGAAAAAACTCAGGAGAAACATGAAAAATCTGAGCAGAAAGGGGGGAAAAGAGAAACGAGCATTTTGCAGCTGGGGGGAATGCTTTGACCGGGGGACCAACCACGACTAGAAAAGGAGACCTGAGCTGGGGGAACCTCACTGTGCTGAGGACAAGCCATGGGTGCAGGAGGAGCCGAGCAACCCACAGAGGAGGACAGCAAACCAGAGGATTCGTCGAAACGACTAGGAACCAAAGGTAAGGATTTTTTTGTTTCCTGATTTGCGTGTTTCTTGTATTATCAAGTAAATAGCAATGGTGTTTTAGATTTCTAGCAAAGCTTGTGTTATGGATTGGACTATCATGTCAACTCCCGAAGTATAAAACTTTAGAGTGAGAGTCAAGGCTGTATGAAAGACGTGTATGCTATTTCCACATACGGAATCAGCAAAAAAATGCACACACTATTATCTCGTTTGAATAAATCACCGTAAGCTGAAGCCCAGTGCTCTAAAGCTTCAGTAAAGTCTTGATGCCAAAAGGAGTCCAAAGGGTGCCTTCCCAGAAAAGTCAGCAGCTGTGACCTGCAGCTTTTGAGCGGGAGCTCAAAGCTGACAGTAGTTTTTCCCATCTCTGTATGTAATATCATCGAGAACGGTATGGTTGTGAAGAGCATGGTCTTCCTGAAGAAAGCTTTCACGAGTCAAGCAGCCACCAGAGCACACTTGGAGGCACCATCATCAGTAAGTGTGCTAGGAAGGGACTGCGTTTGCTGCTGGTGCAACTATATTGAAAGGCTGCTCTTGTAGGTCTGGTTGGCTGGAACATCAAGGACATCGAGAGCCAAAACTCATTTAAAAACTGTAGTTTACTATACCATCCATTTTAAGGATAACAGATTTATCACTCTTGATATAGTTAATCCTTTCTGCTCTGCACACAAATAGTACTTCATAAACTTCACCTTGACATGTAGTCAGAGATCGTATTGTCCTTGATGATAGAGACCTATACAATGCTACAGGAAGCCAGAAGGTCTAGCAATGGAAATCCACCTCTTAATATGTCAACACTATAATTGGTAGTTACGAGAAGGGGTGGGGTGAAATACAATATGCGTTCCTAAAGAAGAGATGCCAAAGCCAGCCATATCTTACGCTGACATACTACATGCAAGCGAAAGACAAAAGCTACTTCTCGTGGCTGCAAGTAAGAATTTAATTTCCAATGTTCAGTGGTGTAGAAGTAATACCTTTAATTAAAGCTTCTGTAGCATGTCCTCAAAATCTGTAATTGCCGCTCT